TAAGGCAGCTTTTATCACTGTAGTTGCCAGCTTGCAATTAGGTGGGAATATTCATAGGTATCTAGTAAAACTATCACAATGATCTTTCTATTCTGAGAGACTCCTCTGCTGAAATTCAACATAACATAGTGAGTCACTAAGGAATGATTCAAAGCTAAAAACCAAAGAAAACAGAAAATTCACATAAAAAGATTACAGCTTATGCAGTCAGCAATAATATTAGGACCCATAATTTTGCTGCTTTAACTACTATGCTTCCTTCATCCAAAGTCTAATTTTGAGGAGAAAATGCTTACATAAGAACTAGAGAAAAAAGAATGGCAATGTTTTTACAATGTGCCTAGGTCACTAAAACAACCAGACCCATGAAATACAAATCCAAAATCCAAGTCAGTTAAAAAATAGCTTTGTCCTATTTCTGTGGTACTAGGGCTTGAACCCAGGACCTCAGACGTTAGGCAAGTGCTCTGCCACTAAGCCAGTCCCCAGCCAGTCAGTTTTTACTTTTTATTTGAGACAAGGTCTCACTAAGTCACCCAGGTTGGCCTTAAACTCATTGTGACCCTCCTGCCTCAATAGCTGAGATTAGAGGCCATTACTACCAAATTCAGATTTTAATTATAGTTTTCTGTATGACTTCTCTACATTTTACTTCTGAAAATAATGCAGAAGGGATAAGATCTCCAAAATAACATTACGTTTTTTAAAATACCTAATTATTTTTCTCCCAACTGTACATATTCATGTATATAACCTAAAGTATAATTTCCAAAAAATAAATGAGTATAGTACTTTCATTGTTGCATTGAAAGGATAAATAGGTAAATATTTATACCTCAAACAAGAAGTAAATATACAGAATCTAGTATTTCTCATACAAAGACTGAACACGTCAATTCCACTAAAGAATCAATATTCATAAATGTTAAGGTTTATATTTGAGTGTAGACTACACAACTAACATTGAGAAATGGCATGGGGTTCAGAAAGTCGAGTTTGAAGCCCTTTTCAGTAACTAGTTAGCTTTCTGTTCTTAGGAAGAACTCAAAACTACCTCAGACTCAGTTTTCTTACCTGCAAGAGGAGAATGTTAAACGTCCTCATTTCTACAGCTGTTTGAGTTGCGGCACAGGGAAAAGAGCACACTAGACTATCAACATAAGTGTGGCTCCCCAGGATGATATCAAACAACACAGGAAAATCCAAATAATTTAAAAGTGATTCTCTTACCTACACAATTTTGAAGTTTGCAACTATGAAGTAATAAAAGAAATATTTGAGAATTGAGCCATTTAATGAGGGCTGGAACATGGTGGCCCAAGCCTACAGTTCCGATACACAGGAGGAAAGGCATTTACTGGAATGCCCTGTGTTTGCTACTCATCCTTCTGTAATTTTGAAGCTAAGGAAGCACTTTGAGTGAAAAATGCAAGAAATCCAATATAATTATTTATTCCTTTGAGATCTGGTCAAGGATATTGTGTAAAGTGCCAAAAATGTAGTAATGAATCAGGAAGACACAGAGCTTCCCTCATCAAATTATAGACTAAACAAAGAGGAGAAAACGGGGAAATTTCAGCACAATAGCCAAGAAGAAAGTGTGCAACATTCTACATTGAATTCATATCTTCATATATAAAGGGGAATATTAATACTAGACTCTAAAAATAAAATGTGTAAACTACAGCACACTTGGGATCCTGCCTCGTGAGGAAGAGCACATTCTATCAGCTTTCCTTTCTTCCCTGTCATATGAACAGTGACTCTCACTAGTTCACAGCCCATCCTCTATGCACCTGTCTCCTCTGGATTTGAGAAGTTACCCCTAATTCTCATTGGCAATGCCTCCGCCATTTCCCATTTCTCTGCACAATCTGAACCTAAATACCTTGGATCCCTTTCTACTGCCCTGTCTGAATAGAGATTTCCAGATATAGGTTCCTCTTTTAGCTTACCTAACTAGGATTCTGCCTGCTGGTTCATTTAGATATGAGTCCTTTTCTGCACTCTTACACTTTGGCCTAAATATCTCATTCTCCATACTCTGACATGAAAACAGTAACCACGTGCAGGCTATCAGCAAAATATTAGTGCCATCCTTTTGTGCGTGTGAACCTCTGAACCCCATCCTCAGATCACACCAGCACATTCCCCTTCTTGGCTGGTCTCCCTGTTTTCAATCTTACCATCTCTGATCCAGCTTTCACTATCATGTGATACTTCTAAAATACAAGCATCTGCATGTCAGTCTGTTTTTAAATTCTTTTGTGATTCTTCTTTAAATACAGATCTGGGGGCTGGAGAGATGGCTCAGCAGTTAAGAACACTAGCTGTTCTTGCATAAAACCCAGGTTCAAATCCCAGCACCCACATGGCAGCTAACAACTATCCATAACGCCAGTCCCAGGGGATCCGACAGCCTCTTCTGTCCTCTGCGGGCACTTCACGACACGGGTGTACTTACGTACACGCCGGCAATACACGCATACACATAAAATAAAAATAATAAATAAAATATAAATAAATAAAAACATTCATACACACACAGAGATCTGAATCCAGGCTCCTGAAAGATCCCCAAGATGCCCTTCGTGAGGAACGCCACCCCTCTTTGCCAGAGCTTCCTCCCTCCCGTCTGCTGCCTCAACCTTTCACATTCTGCTCTTGTCAAACACTGGGGGTTTGTTGGCATTTATCACATTTTCTCCTGTGGTGTTCCTAAACATGTTTCCCCTGCATGCTCTTCTACCTGTCACCTCCAAAATTTATCAGAGGCATCAGCCCTCCACAGGCTTCTGTGTACTTCCATAAAAGTCCTGGCATTATGTACAAAATATTTGCATGTCCAGTTACCTTTTCTAAGCAAAGCAGGTTACTCAGGAAGTAGGACTCTGTAAATTCTCTGATAATCAAAGGAAACCTTGGCTTCTACAGGCCCTGCTAGAATTAAGAACAAAAACTCATCTACGGGAAATCCTTGCCTGGCATTCCTTAACAGCTAGTCACCTCCCTTCCTAAAATGTCTTAGCCTGACCTTTCAGTGGCTATTTTATCTGTGAATGTGGACCAGCTCTCCATGGGACTTCATGTTTATGTTATGCCACCACTGCCACTAAAGCGACAGTGATAAAATCCTTACCCAGTCTGCCAGTTCTTCTAGAATTAATACTAACAGAAGAAATTCATTTAGTAGATTTATGAAAACAATTACCAAGCGCCCTCTGAGGTCCTTCCGATACTGCAGAGTGTCAGTATGCCCTGGATGAACAGCAATCTACTTTCCATATAGTTTTGTCCTCTTGAGTTCAGATCTTATCTTCAATACTTATAGAGCAGTCCAGTCATAGTTCATGGGAATTACAGGACTGTAGCCCATCAATAACATAAGCCATCTCTCTAGTAAATAGATTCAATTCCTCCTTAGTCAGTTGGTCAACGTGGTATTTTTTATCACAACCCTTTTACACTGTAGAAGGAACAGTTGTCTCATGCAGTATTAAAGCTGGTCTGATCAGAAGCTCAACCCCATTAAATGATAAGGGAAAGCTGCTCACTAGCTCCCAAATTAAGGAGCTATGATTAAGAGTCATCTCTCCCTCTCATAATTTAACTGAACCACAGCAGTGAAAGCTTTCTGTTCAGAAATGATAAAGATTTTAACTTGAAAGAAAATTCTAAGTATATTGCTCTTGTCAGACTGCAGAGTTAGGAAAAAGAAAAAAGAAAAAATGTTATATTAATGCACAACAAAGGTTTCCAACCAAAAAATTCTGAGATATCAAGACACGTCCATTCTAGATTTCCTATGCAAGTGGCAAAAACATGAATTTCCATCTATTGCTATCAAAAATAGTTCGAATTGCACAGGACTGATGGTTTTAAGGTACAGGGAATTTTAAAACAGGAGGAAAATCCTAGTGATCATTCTCAGTATCTTATTTCTTACCAGGACTGTTATAAGAACGTGTCCTAATGCATGGCTGTCCTTCACAGGCAATCGTTGTCATCACCTGGCTTCCCACCTGCACTTACTCAGCAATCTTGGGTCACTGGCTTCAAATATTCTCACCTTCTTGCCATTGTTCCACCCATAATCAGCCAGCTAACTTATACAGAGCTGTTAAAGAGTAAATATGAGTGTTGCTTTCTTCCAGCTGCTTTTCATGACACGTTTGCACCATTCTATCCTACCATCCTCCCAGCACAAACACCAGTCGGTTCTTCGTCCTTCGATGTGCCTTTGTCAACATCTACAAATAACTATAATAACATAACATGGTCCAAAGACTATTCTAGGATCTGTCTGCATCATCTCAGTATTAGACCACAGACCATCTGAGAGCCACAATGAATAACACATAGGATTACATAATCAATGAGTCTTCATTGGATAAACGACTTTAGATGACAATGTGTACAGTGGCAAGACATTGTAAAATGCCTTGCACTGAACAAGTCACTTTCCTTCCCTGAGACCTTACTTTTCTCACTGTTTTAAATAAGGATAATAAGAGCTAGAAGTGTGGTCTAGTAGCAGTGTATATATTCTATGCATAAGGCCCTGGGCTCAATTCCCAGAAATCAATCAATCAATAAACAAACTAAAAGATTCTTTCATGCAACAAAATTATAAATCTGAAATACAACCAGTCCAGTTTATAGTATAGGCCATTTTACTATGGAACTTAAACAAGATGAAAGATTGAAATACTGCCAATCTTAAAGTTGAAAAAAGTATTCTATAAAGAACTGCAATTGCCTAAGTCATACTATCCCATATATTTTCATCGATTAATTTTAAAATTGATCTAATATGTGAAAGATAATGTTAAGTATTTCATAGTGGAAAGTGGTGGGTATGACGGAAGGAACTGAAAGGGAAGGAATGGTAGATGAGTGAACTTGATTAAAGCACATAATACACATATGATAGATACAAAGGTAGATATGTGGAGAGATGCTAGGCCTTGAAGAGCACAAATGATTTCATGATTAATTACCTTGCTTTCAGCTAACCAGCGATGTGGATCATAATGTATTTCAGGACCAGAGGAAAAAAACTATAAAAAGAAGAAAGAATATTAGAACTAGACTTTTCTCTGGCATGAATGTACATAAATTATTGACACAGCATCCAAATGATTAGTCTTTTAGCTTAAGTATGCAAAAAGAGTAAATTTGTAGCCATTTATTAGGTGGATACTTAGGTGTTTATTTATTCACTGTCAATAAATAGTCATCTCAATATAGAGACATTAAATGAAAGAGCTATCATGTGCTACCATCACTGGGCTCTCCGGAAGCTGAGCCCACAAGGTTTCATCTGGCAAGCACCCTTGATAAACACTGTACTTCATCTTTGGTTTATTTCCTCAGTGTTGTTTTATGTACTGTATTTCACAGAGGTTTAGGTGTGCTTACATAGCAACCTAATTCTTCTTTATCCACATTTATACTATAGGGTCCTTTTTGTTTCATCAAAGACTGCAAAAAAACACGGGCTGAAGAGATGGGTCAGCAGTTAAGAGCACTATCTGTTCTTGCAGAGGACCCAGGTTTGATTCTCAGCACCCACATGGTGGCAAACAACTCTGTAACTCCAGCTCTAGGGAATCTGATGCCCTCTTCTGGTCTCCTTGGGTACTGGGCACAGAGATGCACTTATATACATGCAGGTAAAACATTCATACACATAAAATAAAAAATAAATTAAAAAAATGTTTAAGGATTATGAAGAACAGACAACTCATCAAAATGAATTTATACCAACACTGATTTTTATTTCAAGATTGTAAGAAAATTCTGTAATCATTGCCTATATTGCCTGCCCTGATTTACTTCATAACATAAAATCTATTATCTGGGGTTTTTTTTTTTTTTCCTTTCTTATTACTGAGTTACAGCCAAACTCAAAAGCTGCCAATGACTTTATAATTACTGCCACAAATTTTAGTATTCACAGTTCTTTGAACTCTGTTCTACATAGGGTACTTATGTACTTTTTTATTCAATCTCAAAATATACTATCCCTCTCCAAATTGATGTCTACTCCATATACTTCAAATACTTCCATAGTTTCTGATAGGTGTGCGACATTACTTGTCTATCAGAATTGCAAGAGCTAAGTCACTTAAACACCATGAATTATATACTAAATATCAACCACATGCCATACACAAAAGTGTTGTATTATTATATCCAACTTTTCTCTTTATCTAAATCTAACCTAACTCTTTCATTGTTAGTGCTTTGTTTATTTCATTTTGTATTTAGAAATTGGGTTATGTTATGTACTCCTGATTTCTCTGGACTTAAGCATAGACTTACGTGGAGTAGGCTGGCCTCAAGCATACAGCAACCATTTTACCTCCATTATGATGCTGAAATTAAAGGCCTGCACCATCATGGACCCAGTCCTAACTCAACTCTCAGGCCATCTCTGCCTTGTCAGTCAATTTTTCCCTAAATTACCAAAATTTTAAGTTTCTTCTTCCTCTTTCAACATTGTACTACACATTTTATAAGCATTCACTGGTCATCAGTTATACTTTTTTTTCATTAACCTACTACATGAACCTTAACTAAATCTTCAGTGATAAAAGGCAAAATAAATTGATATAAGAAATACAAGCAATGTTCCTTTTTTAAAAAAAAATCTGTTCCACAGATTTATACATAATTCCAAGTTGAAAAGAACATCTTTAACCATTTATAAGTGGGGTAGCTACACGTTACCATCTGCAAAGGGGACAGACTGCCTCATAAGGCCAAGGTACAGACCACGTACACAGTGTTTCCATTGTCTCTATCACACAAAGCATACTCAACATACACCTGTTACTGAACGTCTAAATATCATCATTAATAAACCTCAAGAGCTACTGTGACAAGAACATTAAAACAGACCTTTGTTCTGAAGAGATGAAAAGAGAACCTGGACAAATATCTAACATCTCAAAACAGGATGATGCTTATACAGCAAGCTGAAGGGGCAATTTGTTTACCATAAAGAAAGAGAATAAGAATGTTCCTCTCTGTCCATCTCTGTTTTTTCCTACAATTAACCATAACAAGGCTAATACATCTTATAAGATGATTCAAATGTCTTCATTTTCATGCTTGAACATGACTGAAAACTTTCTGAAATTATATTTTTAAACACGGAGCAAATGTTGCATTGTTAATATATGCCCCTTTCACATAAAGCATTAATGGCAAGGTCACATATTCTTTAAATATAAGCAAATCAGACAAGCATTAGAAAGGCAAAAGAATAAGTGAGCATTATATCAGACTTTACAGCATCCCTGAAAGACTGGGCTTTCCTATTAAACTCCAGTATGGCTCATTTCAGCCTGACAGTCATCTCACAGTGATAGCTAAACATTTTTTTAAAAAGGTATTGGAGGAAAAGCATTGCAAAATATCTATCAACTCTACTAAATTCTACAAATCGAAATATTAAAGTAGAATCCTAAGAAGACTTTGACCGAAAGAGTAGGATTACATTTTAGTTTCTTTCGAACACCACTTAGAGGGAAAAAAAAAAAAAAAGATGGGAAAGAAGAACAGGAGAGGGGAAAAGATCTTAGAAAACCATCTAATGAAGGAAAATATAATGATGACAATTCACCTGAAACACTTAGGCTTAATACCATATCTGCATGTGGTACTGTGATAAACTGAAGCAAACACAGTAGAAAATGATGCTGATCTTTAATGGGTTCAGGGCAGGTCAGACCAAAGCAATGCCCTGCTGGCACCGGAGCTAACACTTCATAAAGGCGCTGCTTCAAGGAATTCCAAGCACCCACGGATCATTTCTGTTTTTATTTATCATCTCATGACAACTACTAATGAGAAACCATTTTCCATTTTAAATATAGAAGAAGCATACTGAACAGAGCATGTTGAAGCAGGGAAAGCAAAGAGCACAGTCTTCGCTTGTTTAGGTTCTAGAGTTAGACCACAGAAGTTTAAAGTCCTACTGCAGTATTTAATCACAGCAACATTCAGGAGCAAGTTACCTAGCACCCCCAGTTCTAGTTTTCTCTTTTCTATGCTGTATTTAATTAGAATACTGAAGGGGAGGGGTGGTTTGAAGGGTAAAGGAGATTACACTCACCAAAGTTATCATTAAACCTCTAATGTTGACCTCAATAGATGCAATTTACTAACAATATCACAAACAGGCTATCGTAATGAAAAAGTCAAAATCCAAGCTTCTTGAATCAGAGGATATTTTCCTTTGTTAGAACTGCTGCCTCTTTCATGAAGGATTTTCTTTCACCGAGTGAAACACAGGTGACTCAATAGAATAAGATCACACTTCCTCTCACCATAACTGCGCAATAATAAACAGCGCCTTACTCCTAAACATTACAGGAAGTTATTTTTGTTGTAAAAAAAATTTCTGAAATAAAAATATAACTACTGTGTAATCCTGTTACAAACCCATTATAATTTTACGTTAGGAAAATAACTGAAAATTGAAAGCACAGTAAGAACTCATAATTACTTTGAATTTCTCCATGGAGTCTCTGGAGAAAGTTTTACAAGCTGCATCAATTTCCTTTCCTATTACACCAAGAATGGATTCCTGTTCAGTCTCCAAACAAAGAAGCTGATCCTTGAGCTGCAACCTGGCCTCTTCCATCCTCCTTAAGTGCTTTTCTTCATTACTTATATGTTTTTCCTGTGGTATAAGAAACAAAACAGAACTTGGTTATATAAGGGGAACCAAGAAACAGTTACCCATACAACCAAATCAAAGAACTAGATTAGGAAACAGATACGACTCTCCCAGCCCTTCTTTCTACCAAAGTAAATATTCTACCTACTCACTACTTTATGCAAATTTAAATTTAATTAGAATATTGAAGGGGGAGTTAAGAGTTAAGAGAGAATGACTGAACGCACGACACTTATCAATAAACCGCTGTTCATCTTAATAGATGAAATTTACAGTTCAGAAGTTGGTACTTGGCAACCAGTAATCAAACAGCGGGCAAACATTGCTATCAAAATTCTATCAACAAAAGAAAAAAGTTGAAAATATCCTTTACCATTTTATAACACAGTGTTATTAATTGATCAGAAAGTAAAAGTCAATATTACAAAGTGACCTTGTGTGAACCCTAAGCATTAGTAAACTACCAGAAATAGAAATTATCTAAAATGGGGCCTGCAGAGATGTTTCAGCAGTTAAGAACACTAACTGCTCTTGCAGAAAACCCAGGTTCAAATTCCAGCACCCACATGGCAGCTAATAACTGTCCATAACTCCAGTTCCAAGGGAGCCAACAGCCTCTTCTGTCCTCCACAGGCATTGCATTGGACTTACATATATGCAGGCAACACATACATACATATGAAATATAAAAAAAGAAAGAAATTATCTAATATAATGCTATTAGCTTCTTCATTTGAGAAAAAGTGTTATCACTGTAATTACATCACAACATAGTTTTTCAAAATTCTAGCTTTTGAATGAAGTCATACTATACATATGCTTTTGAGTCATGAAAATTGAACAAGCCTAAAATGGAAACATTCCAAGTAAGCAAATATATTTAATGAAAAGAGGCTTTTAAGTAGCCCTTTAAGAGACTACAAGTGCTTAGGGGTCTCGTCTAGGCGAAAGAATTTGCAATCATTATTATTATACAATTCTCAATCATTATGATTAAACAATCTCATTAAAATTGAGCATCCTTGATTTAAAAATACAGAACCTAAAATTCCCAAGTCCATAGTTTTTGAACATGAATGTGATACTCTATCAACATCAGATTTCAGTGTGTTTTGGATTGTGGAGTAGGAGGGTTTAACTGGTGAAATCAATACAAATATCCTAAATCTAAAAGTGAAAAGCTTCTGATCTCAAGTATTTTTGAACACTTGCACTATAGGAATTCAAAGTGATATTACACAGGGCTCATCATGTAACTAGAATTACTAGAATCATATAAAGATCAAACAAAACCAGGACGCTGGTTAATATGTCCTCAGTCATTACACACTAGTCTAATCATCTTTAACTACCCTGTTAGGCACAACTAAGCCAAAAAGAGTAAGTGGGCAACAAATCCAACTTGAGTTTCAAAGAAATAAGAGATCCAGTTGTTAAAATATAATCATGAAAAGAAGGAATGTTTTCAACAAATAAAGTAGGAATGTTCCCTTTCAGTTTAATTCAGAATATAAAACAAAAGGACGTTCCTCTGCCAAAAAGTGTGGCCTTTCACAGCTGGTCTGCTTTACACAGCCTTATCTTCTCCCATTCCACTGTCTTGTGCTACTCCTGGGTTTCTCAAACATGTCTACTTCTGTCTCCCTCACCACATGGACCTATACAGCTCTGCTTCAAGTTGTTCTGCTTCAAAATGTAGCCAGAAATCATTTATTTTGATGAGTTCACCTTAATCCATTATCTGGATCTGGCTGAGTTTATAAACTTAGGAACTGGAATTCCATCTCTTATGGAGACTCCAAGTGGAGTTATCTTTCAGCAGCAGAGAAACAGTAAGCTCATAAGAAACTAATTTACAAATGGGAATGCCATTCAGTTAACTATATCTATTTGCAAAGAGAACCGTACCTGGCATACTGATCAGAATGCTCATGAAGGTACAATCAATACACTGTCTCCCTGTAAACCGAAGTAGAGAGAATGTCCTTTTTGTGAACAAGAAATCAGAAGAAAGAGTGCTCATTTTATGGAGTAATGTTTAAGTGTCATCAGCTCATAGCCTTGTAATACAGCCAAATACAGCAGGGACCTAAGAATCACAAAGGCAGATACACCTCATTCTTCTGAGCACTGTTCGGATGAAGGTGGCTGAGGTATATCTCCCTTTCTCCTCTGTCCATAGTCAGTGCCTGCCCAAATTCTACCCCCTGAATGACACATTTCTGTAGATCTATCATTACTTATACCAGGTCTCACATTCAAACACAACCTTTTCTGAAAATTAACTTCCTGGCCTTGAACAACGTTGGATAATTTTATTTAGAGGAAACAGCCCTTACTGCCAAATCTGAGTCAAGAAGACTTGCCTTCTGACTATTGCCATGCACTGCATTATGCCTTCTTTAAACTTCATCCTTCAAAATCCAATCTCATTTCCTAGTCTCCGAAAACATGTTATTCCTATCATAGAATTTTTTTTAAATTTTATGTGTATGCGTATTTTCCCTGCATGTATGTAAGTGCACCCATGTTGTGCAATGCCCACAGAGGCCAGAAGAGGGCATCGGATTCCATGGAATCGGAGTTAGCTGCCATGTGGGTGCTGGGAACTGAACCCAGTTTCTCTACAAGAGCAGCCAGTGCTCTTAACTGCTGAGCCATCTCTCCAGCCCCTATCATAGAATTTTTTTATTTCCCAAGTCTTACTCATTCTTTTGTGCATCTTTACCTGGGAAAATATGCTTATATTCCTAAAGTTCCTCCTTTGTGAATAAGAGATTTTAATGGTTTTATTGAGGGGGGGGATACAAGTTCTACACTGCAAGCAAAACTTCAAGAACTGCATGCAGATCTATATTTGCAGAGATTTCACAAGGCTGTAGTGGTCTTGTTGATGCAATGCTAGTAAAGGAAATGTTCTCTTAGAAGTTATTGATGCACTACAACAATGTCCCCATTCTAAAGTATTTCACAATGATTTTCTATCAGAACTTTTTTCTTACCTCACCCATGGCCATTTCTTTTACCTAATATAAACTTTCTGTGGCCTCTCTAATTTGAATCTTCATAACTGTGCTGGATAGCTTTAATTGCCAACTTGACACACCTGGGTTGAGGGAGCCTCAATTGGGGGATTGCATCCATTAGATTGGCCTGTGACCATGTCTGTGGGGTATATCCTTGATTTTTGAGTGATGTCGGAGGGCCAGCCCACTGTGGGAAGTGCCACCCCTGGGCAGGTTGTTCTGTATTGTATAGGAAAGCAGTCTGAGCATGGGCCAGTAAGCAGCATTCCTCCAGGGCCTGTGCTCCAGCTCCTACCACCAGGTTCCTGCTTTGAGTTCCTACCTTGGGCTCCCAGATGAATTGTGACCCAAGAGAGCCAAATAAACCCTTTCCTCCCCAAATCGGTGTTGGTCAGAGTACTTCATCACAGCAATGGAGAAACAAACTAGAACAGTAATAAGACAAAATTACTACCATCTTTTTTTTTAATATTTTCGGCTATGTTGACAGTGTGAGCTCTGTAAGTTTTACCTCTTCATTTCAATGATGGAGAGATGGCTCAGCAGTTAAGAGCACTTGCTGTTATTACAGAGGAACAAGATTTAGTTCCCAGGACCCACGTGGCAGCTTATAACCATCTATAACTCCAGTTCAAGGGGATCAGGCTTTTCTGGTCTCCACGGGCACCAGGTATATACATGTTTGCAGTCAAATACTCATGCACACAAAATAAAAATAAAACTGTTTTTGAAAAATTCATTATCCTTTGTGAAGCAGTACACTAAACCAAATTTCCCTTTGAAGTGAAACATAACTATGGTCTCATGCAACCTAGATCATTAGGTTCAACTACCTGGATCCTTCAGGGATTCCTTCTTCAACATTCTAGACAGATGGTCATTCAACATCTATATGAGCTTCTCAAGTTTCAAGGACCAGAGTACCTGACAAAGCCTTAAAATTTTCCCATTACTATAAGTGTGACACTTAAGAAAAACTTAGCACAAGTCTTCTACTCTCCACCAAAACTTAAAACTTTCTAGATAAAATTCCTTTTTCCCCACCATTTTTTTATTTTTTTAAATATTTTATTATTTTTATGTGTATGTGTGTATTGCCTACATGTAGGTAAGTGCACCCGTGTCATGCAATGTCCATGGATAACTGGAGTTTTGGACAGTTGTTAGCTGCCATGTGGGTGCTGGGATTCGAACCCAGGTCTTCTGCAAGAACAGCCAGTGCTCTTAAATGTTGAGCAATCTCTCCAGCGCCCCCAACACTTTTTTTTTAACCTGACTAGGTTTATGACCACACACAACACTGTTTCCATCCTCTATATGTGCTCCACAACCTTCGCACAAAGAGTTAAGTTCTTCCACTCTGCATTAGAGCAGTACTCCTCACCTTCCAAGAGCTCATGTGCTAGAGGCTTGGTCTTCCATGTAATGATGGGTTTAAAGACGAACCTTGGGAAAGCAATGCAAGCTTTACTCTCACAAATGAGGAACCCAAAGACAAGACAGTAAGTAACGTGACTCAAGTTCAAGAGTATACAGTCCCCTAACCTGAGCACTCCAGACTCCCAGACTAGGAGTCGTCATCAAAATGCTGAAAGTCTAAGTTCTTACAAGGGGCATTGAGAGACAAGGTGAAATACTCAGAAAAGTTATCAGCTGGTGCTTTAGGGATCATGTAGTCTCAGAGCAGAAACAATAATTCAAAACTTAAGTCCTGAATGAGTCTCATTACAAATAAAAACAGATCAAATGACGGGCATGGTAGCACACGCCTTTAATCCCAGCACTTGGGAGGCAGAGGCAGGTGGATCTCTGTGAGTTCAAAGCCAGCCTGGTCTACATAGAGAGTTCCAGGACAGCTGGGGCTACAGAGAGACCCTGTCTCAAAAAGACCAAAAAAAAAGATCAAACATCGGGCTAGAGAGATGGCTCAGCGGTTGAGAGCACTGACTGCTCTTGCAGAGGACCCAGGTTTGATTC